GCTTGCCCCTTGCGGGGCAGGGAGGTCCCTTCCAGAGGAGGTAGCAGAGGTCCCGCTAGGGGGCCGGAGCAGCCACTGTCCTCCGCCGGTGGCCCCGGGTGCACGACACATGTCTGTCCGCGGTGGTGCTGGATTCTCCCGTCCCACTTCGCTGGGCTCTGTTTCAAACTCTGCACCGAGGGATCACTCTTGTTCCTTATCCCTCATGCAGAGGCCGATCTGCCCCCCCCCCGTCTTTAGGATCACTACAGGATTTCTGTGGAAAGGAAAGTGAAACGAGTTAAAGGAACTGCCTGGAGAACATGTAGAGGGGTTAGTGACACAACATTGCGTTGATATACCTATTGGACACTTGCCTGTATAGGTCCTCTATGAACCTGTAAATTTTATGGAAAGCACACATATTAGTAAAGGGAAGAATAATTAGGAAAAAATAGCAAATTTCTTTCTCTCCGGTTCCCAAATTATGAAGCTAACTGAACAATAGTTTTGCTATCCTGTTAGTCAAGACACTTGAAAGAGACACAAGTGCAAACCCACTTGTGCAAAGTAAATTCTAGTTTTTCCTTGAGCTGTATGGTGGTTTGCGCTGTAGTGCTGAAGCATAGTGCTCTCATATTTTGGGGGTTTGTTTTTAGTTAACCTTTCTTCACTATTTACATATTCCTATTTTACTTAAACTTTATTTTGTCCATTTCTTTCCACTCAGCTTTAAAATCTAATTATAACTTACTTGGATAATTTAAGTAGAGTCGAAATTTAGCAAGTGGTCTTTTAAATGGAGTTTTAAAATGGAAATCTACACTTTAAGATCAGGATACTATCAAATAGGGTCTCTTCTTGTAATAGTTCATAGTGCTTTCATTATCTTTAATAGTGATTTTAGAATGATCTCATAGTTTTGTAGAAATTTTTACCTAAATCCTTAAAATTTTCAGGTGCTTTTCACATCCTGCTTAGGGAGTAATCGCATTGCAAATAGGAAATGTAGACAGGTTGATGAGTCTACTTTTTAGAAATAAAAGGGAGTGAGTTTCTTTAAAGTTCCTCGGAGGAATAAAGAATGTAAAAATTGCCTTAATATAAATTTTCTGGGATGTTTGTAGTTGAAATTAGTGAAGTACGTTAGTTTTCAGTTCTTCTAGCAAGGTGTATTTATTTATCTCTACTATCAGAATCTGCACCTTTTAAATAAAGTTATTCCTGTAATTCTCAGGTCAGGCTGGTTTGATTTTGTTCTCCTTCTAGTTTGAAAACTTTTCAGAAGATGTTCATCTTAGTAAGATTTCATTTTTTTCTCCAAAAAATTGCCTCAAGAGGATTCAGTCAGGGTGATGTGTTACGTACTAATGGGTTACAGCAGTACACTAAAGTAGCCTGTATATTCCATAGTCACATTTTAGCCTGTAAGTTTCATTTCCTTTACACTTTTAGTGGTCCTCACAACCTATTTTTAAATTTTTGACTTTTTATTTTAGGTCAAGAAGAAACAGAAGTGATAATCTTGAGGTTAGACGTAATAAAAATTTTATTTGGAGATTACATAAGAATCATACCTATCCTGATCAGTGCTTACAGACTGTTGACTAATTATGGTGGGGAACTAGTACAGTCAAGCCTCATTTAACATTGGGGATGCATTTTGAGAAATGTGCCCTTAGGTGATCTCCATGCTGTGTAGACATCGTAGAGTCTACTTACACAAACCTAAGTGGCATAGCCTATGCACTCTTTATGGCACCACTGGTATATGTGCAGCCTTTTGACTGAAATGTCTTCGCATGGTGCATGATTGAAAATACGATGTGTAAATGAAGAGAGCAAAATACTGTTGACTTTTTTTAAAACCGAAGGGAGACTAGTTGATTGCCTAAGCACTGCGAACAGTTTTTTGTAAGAAACTGGGGTGGTAGCCAAGCACATGACAACATGTGGGAATTTCGTGTGTGCCCTCTAAAGAGGGTCCAGGACAACTTGAACCAAAGGAGGAAAATTTGAATATATTTTCATTTTGTAGCCTCATACTTTATTAAACATAATAAGCTGAAAACACGGGCAAATATGATTCCTGAGTTCTTGTTACAAATAAAAAGGTCATTTCAAACTTAAGTGTTAATAATTTATATTTTCAAAATAGTTTAAGGCAAAATTTCTACTAGGTTGTATGATTTACACTTTGTGAAGCCAGCTAAAGAAAGATGTATTGGGGCTTGTCTTAATTGCATTTGGAAATTTCGCAAAAGAAACAAGGTCATTTTTCTTCCCCACTTACCTCTGAGATAGCCATTGATCATTTTGCAAATAACTTTAGATCGTTAAAAGATGCCTTTCTTTTTCTTCTGTGTAAATGTTGTTGGTAACAAACTACAGCAGAGATTAGGTGGTGGTGTTTTTGTTGAAGAGATTTTTGCTGTAGAGCACCTGCGCTTGCAGGAGAGCTAGAAAGCAAGGAATCAACTCCCCTCACCTTCCCAGAGAGGACAGCCAAGCTCCAACCGTCTCCATATTCTAAGGCACACATGCACACGTGCCTGGTATGAGTTTTAAGCCACTGTGTCTGAACAGCGCCTTAACCATGATGCCACCTGCTGGCCCCGGCAGAGAATATAGTTTTAAGACTTCTGTGCATTTCACCTATAGCAGATTAAAGGAAGATGTTTGCAGCTGTGCTGTAGTTGGGAAAGACACACAGTGCACAAAAATAACCCCTAAGTGGTTTATAGTTCAAACCACCTCACGCATTTGTTATGAAATGCGCTGTTCTCAAGGGGCCGTTTGTGAACTGGTTATTTAGAACTGGGTACATTTTTAACTATTCATTTAATAAATGTGGAGACTTTTGGGAATTATAAAATATGACAGTGACAGGACAACCACAAGAGAGGAAAGTTGATTTGAGAGAAGTTGCAAAGAGCTGTGTGTGTCTATGTGCGTGTGTATGGTGATTAAGTATTCAAGGCAGCTTTAACATTTTTTTGCTTCCTCTAATGGCAAAATAAATCTTACAATTTAGGTTCTTCTGAGGAAAAGAATTATAGACAGAAGAGAATCATCACATCACATAGCAAGTTAGTTCTGCCTAAGAGTTACTTCCCAGGGTCTTCTCTGAGCTGTTGCTATTTTTCATAATCTGCCTCTCTTTGAACTGTTCCTAAAAGGACACTTAAGTATTGTCACAGTGGCTTGTATGATAGCCTGAGCCTTGTGAAGAGTGAGTACTGTGGCCCTGGTACAATTACCTGTGCATTCTTACAATGTATCCTCAAAGATATTTTGCATTCATTTCAATCTGCCTGGTAAGTTTTATGTTATAGGAAAAACTTAGGTAACAGAAAGAAAATTATATACCTCTTTATATAAATATACTTCATAGGAAGACTAATTTAAAGTCAGTAGTAATTTATATATATTGCAAAATGGATATACCAGAAGCTGTGTCCTCTTTGCGAATTAATGAAATGTGGTTTTAAAGGTGTGGCAAAAGAGGTACAGGTTATTAGACACTCCGTACCAGGGCATTTAAGTGAAGAGGCAGTGTCTGGTTATAGATGGTTTGTAGTTTCTCTCCTCCCCAGGGTAATAAGAGTCCAGGAATCCTTGAGTCTCATTTATGAGATGATTATCTCAATAGCAGTGAATTATTTTCTGGGTGAACAGACAGATGGATTTCCAGGGTTTGAGAAATCTTAAATAATATTGAAAAGATGAAATAATCAATTTTGCTGTTTCTAGCACATTAGCTTTACAGAGGCAGAAAGTCTTAGCCAGTGTATGGCTGAGTGGATCTTCTGATTGCCCTTAGATATTATATAGTATATAACATAACATGCTCTGTGACCTTGGAAATGTTACCATATATGCTCTTATATACACATACTTTTTTTTTTTGGAGAGGTTTTTGCTATAGGGCACATGCATTTGCCAGACAGAAAGCGAGAAATCACCCCCCAGGGGGGACGGCCACACCGCAATCCATTCTCTTCTCGAGATCTTGGGCACACACACACCACGTGCCCGGTGTGAAGTTTAAACCACCGGGTCCAGGACATGAACCACAGTCGACCACCTGGGAGTCCAGCGACATAGTCATTACACTAACTGCTGGTCCCCACATATCATTTTTTAAAAGAATTATTTTATCTAACTTTATTTATTCATTTTTGACTGAAGAGGGACAGAGTGAGGGAGAGGGGGAAAGCAAGAAAAGAAGCTGCCAGGTCCAGGACTCAAACCTCATTTGGCCATGTGGGAGTCCAGCACCCTTAACCACCATGCCACCTGCCAGCCCCACACAGCTTGTTTTTAAATTGTTGGTTTGTGGTTATTTCTTAACATTTAAAAATAAAAATATAAGTGAAAAAGTAAGTTTGTAGTAGTTACCTTTGGTCATGGGATTCCGTTGCAGGAGGAAAGATGTTGGAAAGAAACCAAGTACACCGTCTCGAGAAGCATCTAGAGAAAAGTAGTTTTTATTCTGGAAAGATCTTACTCAGTTTTTCATAGTTTATTTAAGTGGCATACTTGGAACAAAGGTATTTAGCCTTACAAATACAATTTTTTGGGTAGTTTATTTTTTCTATGAGAGAGAAGGAGAGACAGGGAGGCACCTCCAACAGTGTCTTCACCCTGCAGTCTACCCCAGTCTCAGTCAGCCAGGATCAAGGGAACCAGCACGCTCCTGTGGGTCCAGTTGTATCACCACTGCACCACCACCTGGCCCAAGAACAGGTTTTGATGCAATTACTTGGCCGAGTGGATCTTCTGATTGCCCTTAGGTATTATAAAGGGAAAAGTTGCAAAACCTTTTTGTTGTAGACATTAAATAAGACTGGCTATTATTATAATCTATTAATACTAGGTCATTGGGGAAGTCATGACATAATTTTTCTATGCAAAAATGCTTCGTAACTTTCCTGAGGACCTAATAATAAATGATTTTTAGATGCTTATCTTCTCATGATATAAATTAGTGGCAAACTGTGAAATTAAGCTCTGTTGAAAGAGCTACTTTTTCCTGTATATTTGCTTAACTACATGTGTGCAGCTGCAGGAGGGCCATGTGGGTTTAGCAAGCATTTTTAGTGGCAAGGTTTGCTCAAGGTATTATTGGATATTTTATTTTGTCCACATCCATGAATAATTTTATATTTATTGTAGAACCATTTTCTCCAGTGATAGATGTCGAAACAGTGCTAACATTTAAAATGATATAAGAGCTTGCTTTTTGTAGGTCACTTTAATTTTGAATACTGTAATTTTTTTGTAATATTCCTGAACATTTAAAACTGGTGTCTTGATTTCCCTAGCCATTCCTTCCATAGCCTCCTCCCATCTCAATAAATGGCACTGTTATTAACCCAGTTGCTCAATCCTAAAATCTCAGAGGCCTCCTTAGTTCCTCCCGATCACTGTCTTCCACATCGGTCCATCAGCCTTGTTCTCCTTTATCTCCGAAAATACTGGGCTAGTTCTTGGATGTAACTTAGTCTTCAACAGGGTGATCCTTTTAAAATGTGAATCAAGTTTTTGTGCTTAAAACAAAATTAGATAACTTTTCACCATTATCCAAGTTCATGGAAAAGAAATTGGTGCTAAGATCACTTTATATGTTTTTCAAATTTATTTATTTTATGAAAGAAAAAGGGAGAAGAGGAAGGAATGTTCAGGTGGACACAGGAACCCAAGCCACCATGGCTGGGCACTCTTTATGTTCCTATACTTTCCTTGCCTTTTTGTCTACTCACACCTAAATGAAAGTCAAGGGTTTGATGTTATATTGTTTAGGAATTTATGTCCTGTTAGGGGGTAATTGGAAAAAAGGTTATAAAACAGGTTTTTTGTTTGTTTTTTGAGGGTTTTTTTTTTCCTGTTTTCATTACATGTTAGTATAAAGGGTAGAAAGGATCATTCTCAGTAGTGCATTATATTTTGAGACTTGAAAAATTTGTGAAGTGTCAACCAGTAACCTAGTGGTTAAGGAGGCCAGATTCCACATGGCCGACTATGATTCAAATCCCAGCCCCAACAGCTTAAAGTTTAGTCTTAAAATTTAATACACTTCAGTGGTTTTGATTTTAAGGTACTGAACTATTAAAGGTACATTGACAGGTAAGATACTTTTTATTCTGTATTGCCAGAAAAAGAAGTTAATAGAAAGCAAGTAAAAGGCATTGTTTCAGGCCAGCCAGGGGACTTGGTAGTGAAGGCAGCTAGATGCCACATGACCAACTATTCAGTTCAAGACCCAGACCCTGTGGCATAATAAACACACCAGGCATGTGTGCATGCATGCACAAAATCCCGAGAGGAGAATGGAGGAGAAGGGATGTGGGAGAGGGGCCCTGTTTTATCACTTGCCCTTTCTCTCTTCTTCCCGTGCACATACCCTATAGCAAAAAAAAAAAAAAAAAAAAAGTTTCTTTGGTTTTGAAACAATTTCAAACCTTTTCTACTGTACATTATCTACGTGTATATATACACATGTATGCATACATATATATGTGTGATAGTGCACACACACATGTGTGAGAGAGAGGCACCCTTGATCAAGTCTTGAGCTATCACCCTCTTTCCCCAGCCCTCAGGATTCTGGCTGCCCATTCATGTGGCTAGTGTGTTTTCAGACTGACCCATGATCCAAACAGTGCTTTGCAGAGTATTTGCATTACTCCTGTTCCATAGCAGCTGGGCCTATTGTGATTTATATTCTATTTTTCTGGTGATATCTAACTGCAGTTTTTTTCTTTACATAGGTTACTCACTATAAACAGTATCCACCCAACACAAGCAAAGTTTATTCCTACTTTGAATGCCGTGAAAAGAAGACAGAAAACTCCAAAGTAAGGAAGGTGAAATACGAGGAAACAGTATTTTATGGGTTGCAGTACATTCTTAATAAGTACTTAAAAGGTATTACTTTTCCTAGTACATTTAAAATACTACTTGTGTATAACTTCATAATTTTTTCCTACATTGTTATATTCTACTATTTGAAGTAATTTTTTAAATAGTCTAATTTTGGTATTTACTTCAGTACTTTAGGGATTCTGGGAAAAAAATTTAATCCAATTTGATTATATTAAATCTTAAAATTTGGTGTGTATGGTTGGTGCTCTAAGTATGATTTTCTCGGGACCAGCAGTTGGCATAATAGCTATGTCACTGGACTCCCATGCAGTCAACCGCAGTTCAAGTCCCAGATCCAGTGGCCTAAACTCACACCCGGCACATGTGCGTGCGTGCCCACGATCTTGAGAGGATAATGGAGGAGAAGGGATTGCGGTGTGGCAATCCCGGGCGGGGGGGAGGGGGGGTAATTTCTTGCTTTCTATCATTCATTCTGTCTCTGTTTTTCTGGTGAGCACACATTCCCTATAGCAAAAATAACCTCTCCAAAAAAAAAAATAAAAATATATTCTGAAACTCATAAATTTTGAAATGAGTTTAGAAAAATCAGTAATTTCCAGAGGCTAATCTGGTTTGCTAATGGTCTTTACCGATTAATTCAAAGTACAGAATTTGTTATTGACCTGGAAACTGATTTTGAATTATGGTAGCAATTATAATTAGATTATTTTTAAACTAGTCAGTTTTATTTTAAAGATCTGTTTTTCAAAACTTCCTGAAACTGGGTTTAGTTTCCAATACATTTTAAAAGAGAAAAATCCCCAAATTAATTCCTGTGCTTTCTTATCTGCAAGGTCAGTTCTGGTCTGTTCTGTAATGGTGTTTCTAGGGAGGGAACAGTTCCCTAAGATTTTAAACATCCTGAAAAATTTCATCTCTAACCTTTCAAATCATCTGAGAATTGTGATTGAGTTTTATGCAAATGATAACCCTTTTTCACAGTCTTTGATCTCTTAAGATCCGATAGTTTAGATACATAGCTACTTCAGTAGTATAACCTGTCAAAAGTATTGTGGTAAGACCACCCAAGATATTTTGAGTTTACTAATTAATGTTATGTAAAGTTATGCAAGACTAATAGCACACCTTAATTCAGTTCTGCTGCTTTAAAACTTTGTAAAATATTTAGTATTAATGACAACACATTAATTGTCTACTCTAGGCCAGAATTATTGTATGATTCATGTGACTGTTTTGTAAGTAGGCACTCCACTATTTTCATTTTACAGATGAGAAAAATTCACTGAGAGTATATTTGGCGGGGGGGGAATTTATTAATTATAAAATTTACTAGCTTGTCAGCCCTGAAGACATCACATCCTATGAATAAACTTTTATAAAATTGCATATCTGCTTTTAAAGTTAAATAAGCGTTTACACTCAGAATGAATGATTGGCAGTACAAATTCTTTTTATGACTTTGTGTTGACTTGGTAAGTCACTTAAATTCTCTGTTACTGTTCAGTAGTTTTTCTAATCTGTAGAGTGGACAAAACAGACATTAATCAGTGACAATTCAGCAACTTACAGAATGATTAGAAAAGTAAACCGAACACATATGTCCTTTTAGGCAAAGTAGTGACCAAAGAAAAAATCCAGGAAGCCAAAGAGGTCTACAAAGAACATTTCCAAGATGATGTCTTTAATGAAAAGGGATGGAACTACATTCTTGAGGTAAAAATGGTTTCCTGTTTTGATCTGTTTGGTTTTGCTTTTTTAGTTAAAATTTTGTTACAGGGGAATTTAAGTAAAAGATAAGATTATCATTACAACCTTTTTCTGCTTGTGACCTAAGTAATTGCTACTTCAGACATTTTTTTGAAAAGTTAAAGGTTGACATTGATTTTTCTCTTCTAGTAGTAAATCATTAGCATTCAGAGCCTACAGCAGATCCAAGTAATTTGTTATAAATGACTTATAATTTAAATAACTATCACTTTTCAGTAAGGTAATTTAGTCTTAAAAGTACACTGTAATTAAAAAGGGACCTGGTTATCTAGCAATTTCATAATATAGATATCTACTTCTTTGACTATAGATTATTCAAGACCATAGATGCTGAGTCTATCATTGCACAATAATTCTGGAAAATGTCTTTTACTGGAGAGTTTGGTGCACATTCATATTATAGTATTCATATCTAGTATGTTTGAATCCATTGCTTAAACCTCTGGACATTCAAAGACATGGAATTGAACCATGAAATTTAGTGGCCTGCCTGTAGTGGTGCAGGAGTAGGGCACTGCTGGGCAGTGCTGGAGCCATAGGGGAAGGCCTTCAGGTCTAGAGTCAACCTGCACATACTAAGTACACCTGTAACCATGCCTGTGATTCTGGGTGACTGGAAGGCTCAAGGAAGGATTACAGCATGGAGGGACTCGGTCATGGGTGTATGTCTGTCTCTTTACCTGTATTTCTCTCAAGAAATAAACTTCTTTCAGAAAGAATTTAATGTCCACTAATAATTTTCTGTACTGCAAAGATAAGTTGCAGGGACTGGAATCAGTTTGTATCTCATGATGTTAAATATTTACGTCTCAAAAACAAAAGTTGTTTATATTATGCAGACATCAAACACAACGTAATTAGAAATAGTTTTATGTTCATAATAATTGAGTTTTACTTTTTGGTAATTATGGACCTTTGAAGAAATCTGGTAAGTACACTCTGCATATCTTCCTTTTTTTCCTTAAGATTTATTTATTTATTTATTTTGATTTTGATTAGAGAGAAGCAGAGGGAGGGAATGGTAAAGAAAAGGAGTCCAGCCCCTTAACCACCATGCCAGCTGCCAACCCCTGTGCATATCTTAAGGACAGTAAAATCTCTAGATTAACTTCTGCACTTACCTCTTTTCTCTTTTGTGAGGTTTGTTGTAAAGATAAAAGACAGTAAGTAGGTGTTGTGTTTATTACTATAGTGTATGATGGCCAGATAGATATTTTATTTGTTCAGAGAATCTTAGGAATCATAGGTTCTCTGGAGGTAACGTCTACCCCGTTTTGCAAACAGACCCTGCAACTTAAGAGTTGTTAAGTGACATACCCAAGGTCTCCTAACTTCTTCTCGGTCCATGTCATGATTTATGAGGCAATTTCTTCTGTCTCCTGACACATCTAGTGTTTATTGAGCAGATTTTATTATTATTTACTATCTTGTTTCAAATCACATAAATAAACTCTTAAGAGTTTTTGAAACAATTTGCTTTCCTAGTCAAAAATTAACCATGGCTTTTAGTTTTAAAACGGAAAATTGGAGGAAGTACAGTTAAATGTCTAACATAACATGTAGCTAGTAGCACTCAACCTAGTTGTGGGATGAATTGATGCATCAGTAAGAAGTCAGTTAAGTCAGACTTCAGTGTTTATTGCCAAGGTTCTGTGATTGACAGATCTCATGTTTTCTGATCTCCTATGGTTCTCCTGCCAGAGATATTCCCATCTCTTCTTCTCTGTTTTTTGTTTTTGTTTTGTTCTTTAACAGTAATCCCTTAATTTATCTACCAGTCTTTAGTATTTCATTGATGAAAATGACCTTTTTAGACTATAGATAGTGTTCTTGGAAGATGTACTGCATCATTTTATATACAGGATTTTAGAATCCATGGATTCTGGTATCTGTGAGGAATCCTGGAGACACTTCCGTGAACTTTTAAAATATATTGAAATAAACTCATCCTTTTTGTCCCTCCCCTGGAAGAGCAGGGGGAAAAAAATAGGTTTTATGGTTTGGTGAGTTTGGAGTTACCTACCTCTTCTAGTGATAGGTGTTCTTAGCAGAAGCATTTGACAGTACTAAATTAAGTTAATATCAGTACTTAATATCTTCTAGGAGAATAAAGATGTTCTGACATAGATTACTAATAATATAACATTTACTATTGCAGTTTTTGTAATAGTAAATTAAGCTTCTGTAAAATATAAAGAACCCTAATAAAACAAGTAATTGACTATCATCTATTAAATGAATACATTCATCATTGTCTCTTTGCAGAAATATGATGGGCATCTTCCAATAGAAGTAAAAGCTGTTCCTGAGGGCTCTGTCATTCCTAGAGGAAATGTTCTCTTCACAGTGGAAAATACAGATCCAGAGTGTTATTGGCTTACAAATTGGATTGAGGTAAATTTTTTTTTTATTCTTTCTTAACATTAATTGAAGATATAAAGATGTGAAGAACTAGGACTCATATTTAGATTTGCTACTCATAAAGCTATAATCTACAATTTAATGATCCCAGACCTCAATTTCCTCATATCTGTAAAATGACAGTTGATCTATAATCTTTGGCGTTCCTTCTAGTAAAATCTAATGTTCTGAGATTTTTATCAAAATCAAATTATTGAGATGACTTTTTTTTTTAAAAGTGTTACATATTCTTTGATAGTATATATAAATCACACTAAAATGCCTTTCAATAAGTAAAAGGCAGTATTTTGGAAATAGGGAATTCTAATTAAATTGGTAGAGTTAGGACCAAATATATAAAGTAGACATCACTACCTTATCTTCAGCCTTTGCCTTAACAGGTTAATAAACACAAATTAAAACACAGGTGAGTCTGCTTAGTTTTGAGAAGTGAAGAAATTTCTCCAGCATTTACATATTCATATAACCAGTTACATACAAGCCTAAATAAAACCAGTCTCCAGTAGGATTTGAGATGGCATTCACCATCTTTGTAGAATGATTAGCATCACTAATGAATTGCCAGTTGTATCTTTAGAAAGGGCAAATAGTGATAGCACTTACTGAACTGAAATTACTATCAAAATTTTAAAAACCCAACAATATAAGTTTAACCACAAGCCAGTCTTAAATCAGGATTGTCCAACAAAAATATCCTGTCAGCTATTCATGATCCGAGTTCTGGTGTAGGAGATCAATTAAAATATGGTACACATAAAAAAGGTCAGACATTTCTGTTTTGTCATAAATAAAACAGTGGCCACCTATTATTCATTAGTAGCTTTTCTGGGGGAGAGGTTTTTTTTGCTTATAGGGCGCATGTGCTTGCCAGTAAGACAGAGACAGACAAAGCGAGAAATCACCCCCAAGGGGGGATGGCCATACTGCAATCCCTTCTCCTCCCTTCTCCTCTCGGGATCCTGGGCACGCATGCACACGCGCCCGGCGTGAGTTTAAGCCGCCGGGTCCGGGACTTGAACCACGGTCAACTAGACTACGTGGAAGTCCAGCGACATAGCCATTACGCTAACTGCTGGTCCCTCATTAGTAGCTTTTTTAAGATAAGCTATCAACTCCACTCTTTTGGACTTCTTTTTAATGCCAGTGAAGATCATTGTTGTTCCAGGGATGTCCTTCTTGGGATTCTCCAAATCCTCCATCAGTGTATCCTCTCCCCAGGTGATGCCTTTGTTCTTGTTGGAATCTGTGTAAGAGAATCCAGGGGCCTGACTTGTCTTCTGCCCACGTAGACCTTGGAGATTTGAGCCAGTCTTGTGCTTGCCTCCCTTTTCCATGGTGTGGCCCTGGGCATACTTCTGAACAAAAATCTTCTTGCCTTTCTCAACATCGCTGATTTTAATTCTCTCTTTTGTCACTTGGGAATATAGGGTAACCGTTCAGAAGGCAGACGACTCCCTCTCTCGAGATGACTTTAAAAAGCTTGGTAGATTTCCATCTTCTTGCAATTCTAAATGTATATAAATGTATATATTTTTTAATTTTTTAACATTTAATTTTACATTTTCTAAATGTATATTTTCTTAAAGGAAAATTAACACAGCACAAATACATTTTCAGTAACCTAAAATAAGACATTTTATGGATATTCTGTTCCAGTTAGACTAGAGGAACTTTGTTCAGCTTTTAGTAACTACTTTTATTCATTCATCTCTAATCATTTTACACCCTGGGCTCTACCTCCTGATACTTTGATCTTTTCATCTAAATACTGAGAAGATTCTCTATTCATATTGTTTAAATTCTAAGCCTTAAAGGAGGATATATTCTGTACTGTGGGTTTACATTGCAAGCCTGTTTTTGTTTTCCTTGCATGAATACAAGAAGTCATATGTTTTCATAGTCACAATTTTGATAATTAAAGAGGAGATACCCCCTTACTGAGAATTGTTGAAAGTAATTCTCAGAGCTGACTCTATTCATTGGTTCAACTAATTTGTTATGCCATAAAGTAATACATTTGAGGTTCACTTATAATACTGAAAAAAATATTTAAAAAGAGGTTCAAGGATATGCTCAAATACATATAATTAAGCTTACTGGAAATTAGAAATGTTATGATAGTCTCATAAAAAATGTGCAGTTAACTAAAAGGTTTTAGGTTATCTAAATGGTGTATTAAAACTTAATTAATTAACTCAATGAAAAATGTATCTTATTCATTTTTATACCATTGTTACAGTATTTGTACTGGCAAACATTGGATTTTTAGGGCATGGTATTATAAAAACACAAGAGTGGAAGAGTTCTGAAACATATCATCTAGGCTAGTCTTTTACTTTAATACCAAAAGATACCAAACAGATCAATCTTATTTAGAAAATGTGTCATCTGTGGATAAGCTTTCAGTTTTCTGACTGGGAGTATAGTCAGTAATTCCTCTCCCTTATCTAGTTGAACTTTGTGACATCAGAATATTTATGGGCATAGAGAACTAGTTACCATTCCACCTTGTTTATCCTTTATCCTCTTCTGAAAGTGAAAAATTATAAATGAATTTTCATTTTTAATAACATTTTTGGTATATTTCACTAAGAAACCATAAAGTAAAAAGTTTTCTATCAGACATCTTAGAGTGGCAGTTTGTTAGCAAATATATAAATATTTTAGAAAAGAAATTTAAATCTAATATGGGACCATTACATTTTGTTTTTTAAAAAGTATGTAGACTCTTGTTTCTAGTCACTTATAACCTAATCTGAAATTTGTATTGTTTACTTTCTACTAATATATTTGAAGTTATTGCAGTCCTAGGAAGGCAAAAGAATTACATTTTAAGTAATAGCTCTAAAATTTTCTCATTTCCTGATATAGATCAAGGTATTAATAATTCACTTATTGCTTACCTGGTAGTAGTACTACATTTTAAAAACATACTGTACTGGTGACCAGCAGTTAGTGTAATGGCTATGTCGCTGGACTCCCACGCAGTCGACCGCAGTTTGAGTCCTGGACCTGGTGGCTTAAAACTCACGCCGGGCGCATGTGCGTGCATGCCCAAGATCCCGAGAGGAGAATGGAGGAGAAGAGATTGCAGCGTGGCCATCCCCCCTGGGGGGTGATTTCTCGCTTTCTATCTCTCTGTCTTTCTGGCGAGCGCACGCGCCCTATAGCAAAAACCACTCTAAAAAAAAAAGAAAAAAAACATACTGTACTTACTGAATTGCTTTATTAATAATTTCAATATTGGTGCAAGAAGAAACTTCAGTACTTTCTCGAATTTCAAAAACATTTTAAGAAAACCTAAGAATTTTACAAATGCATCACTCATTAAGGAGTGAGGAGCAAGTATATTGACCTAAACTTAATTCTTTCTTCCACTAAAAAGCAAAACTTAACCTTTTTGCTATGACAAAGAAACATAACTTTAAAAATAACTACACTGATTAAATGTACTCATTTCACAGATAGGGAAATTGAGCCCTGACAGACCAACAGGGAAACAGTAAATTCAGTGCTCTTTGGACTATACCATACCATTTCTCATTCTTTAATGTCCTTATTCTGCATAGTGACATTCTAATGAATGCTTCTGAAAGAAAATTTATAGGTTCATTTACTTTAGTCTTAGTTTTCAGCTAAAAACTTTATGTGGACAAACTGCTGTTTTTGGACAAGTTTCCAGCAAGGCCTACTTTAATTAAACCTTAGATTAACCCAAACTAACTTGCCTTTTTTTCCCTTGCTTACACCTACAGTGATCTTTTTAAAAGGGGAATGATTTTATTAAGAGTGTAATTTAAGCTGATTTTGTTGGACTATGGAAAGGAAATGGTGATGTGAAGGATCACTATGTCTGATAGTT